TTATTATTCAATATATACAAGATACGATTATTTAAATATTGTTCTTATTTATTACATAATTCTTATTACAAGAATTTCACATAACGCATTCATATCAAAATTGGTATCAGAGTAAGGAAATTACCTTAATTCGATTGTCGACGAAAGTACTGGTGGCAGTTGAACCGTTGATGACGAACGGAGGCTTGACAAACTCGAACAACGAATCGAGGGAATCGTGAAACACTTTGCAAACTGACGCAGACGATGACTGCATTGATTGTGAAGGGTGGCGTGAGTCCATGGAGAAACAACCAAACTTGAAAGAAAATCGATAGAAAGAAGATGACTCAGATTCTCACGAAGATATTGATTTGGAAGAGAGGGAGGCCATAGGGTTAGAGCAGACATTAACCAACACCTTAGTCTGGAACCGGACTTCGACCCAAGCTTGTTACTAATCATCAACGACGACAATAGGTGGGACCTTAGCATGATAGAGGAGGCGTGAGGCAAGCTGGACCAGGGCTCGACAGGGGAGGCATGTGTAGTAACCCAGTTGTGAATCACGACGTCGTTCCTTTGCAGTTTTATGAACGTCGAAATAGAAGACTCCTTGGTCGGCGAGATGACGACGATGAAATTGAAGAGCTTGCAAGCGACGGTGATCGACTGCGTGTAGGTTACGGTGACTGACAACGAGCAAACAAGTGGAATTTTGAACGACAGGTAAAAGATGTGTGTTTTAATTTCAAGAGAGATGTTAATTTTGATCAATGTAATTTTGACCGGGTGAATAATGTTGACTGGGGTATTAATTGTGACTGAGGCCATTATGATCGGGGTATTAATTTGACTGAGGATTTTATTTTGATCGTTAGCCAAGAGATAGAGGTTTTAAACAAAGACAATAGCGAGGTTTTAACTACTCATCCGAAGAAGAAGATAATTTTCAACCAATGACTAATAATCGGGGTCCAAATATTCAAGAATTTAAGATGAAGATGGACTTACCAAGTGTTGACGGCCGATTAAATATTGAAGATTTTTTGGATTGGATCCATACCGTCGAAATTTTTTTCG